GGATAGACCAAAACTTCAGTTTTTTTTCTTTGTCTACCATCTTGTGTATTCTGTTTCGAATATCTTCATGTCTAGAGTTTGTGTATTCAACTGACATGCCTAGTTTGTGTTTCCAGTGAAGGCCTTCCCTAAGGATGATCCCACTAAGCCTTGCAGGCTCACCTCCTTCTTGGGATATAAAGCTGGAATGACTCACATTGTTAGAGAGGTCGAAAAACATGGATCAAGTATGTTCTCACTCTCTCCTCTTATTGATTCACAGGACTTACGTAAATGTTGCATGTGGTTTTGTGCTTATCTTTATAATTGTAATTGCCAGAGCTCCACAAGAGGGAAACTTCTGAGGCTGTGACTGTGATTGAGACACCTCCAATGGTGGTTGTTGCTGTGGTAGGGTATGTGAAAACTCCCCGTGGTCTGCGCACTCTGAGCACTGTGTGGGCTCAGCACTTGAGCAAAGAAGTAAAAAGGAGGTTTTACAAGAACTGGTGCAAATCCAAGAAGAAGGCTTTCACCAAATATGCATTGAAACATGAAACTGAAGAAGGTAAAAAAGACATTCAAAGTCAATTAGAGAAGATGAAGAAGTACTGCAATGTCATCAGAGTTCTTGCTCACACTCAGGCATTCTATCTTTCTCAATATGGACAATATATTTATAAGTTTTATTTGCTTACTCTGTTTCTAATTTACTATGTTTCCATATGCATTAGATGAAAGGGCTAAATTAAGCAGAAGAAGGCTCATCTGAATGAGATTCAGGTCAATGGTGGAGATATTGCAAAGGAGGTTGACTATGCTTATGGTTTATTCGAGAAGGAAGTCCCTGTTGATGCGATCTTTCAGAAAGATGAGATGATTGACATAATCGGTGTTACTAAGGGAAAAGGTTATGAAGGTGTGGTTACAAGATAGGGTGTGACCCGTCTTCCAAGAAAGACTCACCGTGGACTCCGCAAGGTGGCTTGTATCGGTGCTTGGCATCCAGCTAGAGCTGGGCAAAACGAGTACCATCACCGTACTGAGATGAACAAGAAAGTTTACCGGGTAGGGAAAGTTGGCGAAGAGGCTCACTCAGCGATGACCGAGTTTGACAGGTAATAAAACGACCAACCATTGAGATGTTGCAATCATCTATATATGTAATGAACATGTCTTAGTGTTCCATTTGCTGGTTTTTTCGTTTGACAGAACCGAGAAGGATATTACACCGGTGGGAGGATTCCAGCACTATGGGGTAGTGAAGGAAGATTACTTGATGATCAAGGGCTGTTGCGCAGGTCCCAAGAAACAGGTGGTGACGTTGAGGCAGGTATTGAGGAAGCAGACGACTAGGATTCCTTTGGAGGAGATCAAACTTAAGTTCATTGACACTTCTTCGAGATATTGTTGTCCCTGTCGTTTCCGGAACCAGGGACAGGGATTATTCATCAATCCCGGGGTTCAAGAGACATTCAAGTTCTATGGTAGAGTCAAAGCTTAGTTTTTTGTTATTCAAATCCAACTAAAGGCATAATGTTTAGGTATTTTTTTGGTTTTCGAGTTTAAGAGCTTAGATTTTTGTTATTCAAGTCCAGTTAAAAGCCTTGTGTGTTGGTATTTTTTTGGTTTTTCGAGTCTAAGAGCTATATTAGACATGGTTTAAAACCTCTTTAGCTCAGCGTAAATGTCTCAAATAACTTATTTGGATGACTCATAGAGCGACATCGTTTATAATCTAGTAATCTAGCCAGATTCCTAGGTTGCAGCTTTGCTATTATAACAACTTCATGCACAATTTCTTCGAGTCCTTGTCTAGAAGCTTGTGAGAGTCTCTTAATTGCTATTTGCTGCCATTCTTGCAATTTCTCCTAAAATCAATATACCAAATATCACCTAGAATGGTCACACAGAGAGAGTTGTCACCTAGAATGGTCACATAAAATTAGGACCGAAACCGGCTTGGCCGAGCTTGTTTGAGCGAAATTTTCAGTAGCAGTAGTTAACATTTGAAACTCAAAGAGTAGTGGCAATTTCTTGAGATTGACTTGATTTAAAGAGATACCTCTCAAAAGAAAACACCTACTTAAGGACAATAACAAATGTCATTTCGTCTATTAGATGTTTAATGGTTATCCATGTGTTACGGACTGTTACGGTTTTGACACTTTAATCATGTAAATAGTTTTGTACCGTTTTAAATCAGAAAATATTTCGTTTGAGCGTTTCTGCAGATCGCAGATGGTTATAATTTTCTTTTTCCATATATAAATCCTAAATCTTAATTAAATTTTATAATTCTTTATAAAAAAGACATTTTATTATCTTCAACCAAATATTATCATATCAAATTTGATATACATATTCACCAAAGTAAACTGTTTCTGTATTCAACCGTTATCAAATCTTCAAAAATGTTGTACAAGTGTATATGTTTCTAATTGAAAATTATTCATACAATCCACACAATTAATAACGCAAATAACCGCAATACTATATTTTCCGCAAACACTCGCATTCACTTTCACGCAACAACCAATTGGTTACCCAATCAGGTGGTGAATAACTTACAAAAAGAGCATTAAAATTAATTGAGCGCGCACAATTCGATAGCCGATCAACCTTGGAATTGAGAGTGCGCAGAATGAATGATAACGAGAAGAAACAAAACTGCTCTTTTAGCTTCAATAT